AAGCATTAAGGAAATGTTTGAAATTACATAAAAATTAATAATTCCTGTTCAACAAAAAAATTAACAGGAACATGCACAGGCAAACTTCAAACTGAAAAGACATATTCAACTCACACAATTATCTAAAAAGAATTCACACAGAAAAAGACAGCTATGGAAAAAAAGCAGCAAGGCATTATACCACCATTTTCCCAGAAAACACAATAGTCCATAAAGTTATGAAAAGACACTCCAATTTACCACTAATCCAGGAGATGAAAAGAAAAACTATGAAATACATGTCATACTCACTGCACTGGCAATGAACTTAAGGGTGGATGGCACCAAATGCTGTCAGAGATGTGGAGCGAGGAGGAGGCTGGTGGGGTGTAAGTTGATAAAAACCACTGTGGCAACAGTCTGAAATCTCCAAGTAAAGTTACACACCAAATGACCAGAATTCCATTCCTTAGTATTTGCCCTACAGACTGTGCATGCCCTTGGACATGTGTAACGGGAGGCATGCTATAAGAATGCTCATTGTAGCATTGTTTATAATAGCAAGAAAACAGGAACATTACAGTGCATACCAGTTGAGCAATCAATCTGTAAATCTCAAAACTACCTGGGGCTGGTGACACACGTCTGCAGTCCCAGCACCAGGGAGGCTCTGGGGGAGGATCACTTGAGCCTAGGAGTCAGAGACCACAACGGACAACACAGCAAGACATGATCTCAAAATCAAAATAAAACCTAAAAATCATGAAAGAAAACATACTATAATTCTAAATCCAAATAATAGATTGCTTAGACATATATATGTGGTAATACTATTTTAAAAAGTGATTAACAAGAGTATTCTAGAGCTGTGTGAGGTGCTGCACGCCTGTAGTCCCAGCACTTTGAAGGCTGAGGCAGGAAGATGACAAATTCAAGCCCAGCCTGGGCAATTTAGTGACTTAGGAAGGTCCTGTCTTAAAATATAAAAAGGGCTGGGGATGTAGTGCAAGGCGGAGACTCTGGGTTCAATCCCCCAGTACCGAATGAATGAATGAATGAACAGCAAAAGCAAGGTCTGAAATGCCATATAATAGTTCTGCAGTGATTGGTGAGCACCACATTGCAGCCTGTAGCACTCACTGCCTTTGCTGTCAGGGACCTTGGGCCTCTGAAACTGTACTGCCATGGTAAAGAATCCTCTACAGGTCCTAGAGTTTTACACCTTTATTCTTGAATCCAAATCTAGCACAGATTAATCTAACCAATAGGGTTTTGCCCACAATTTAGCTATAAGTGAAGCTGGGAGTATCTGACGTTCAGGTTTTTAATGTGAACCTGTGAGCTATAACCAGTTCTAGACACAGGGGACACAAAAGGGAACAAACTATCTTTGTACAACTGACATTCTGTGGGGGTAGGTAAGAGGTAGTGAGACAACAAAAATAAATGCACCAACAATGGGCACTCAGTGGGGAAATACCACAAGCAGAGAAAGGAGGTTCAGATTCTGAAACTTAGAAAGAATAACATCTTCCACACGTCATAGATGGTCCTTGTGATCACTTGCAAATATGTAAAGTAGACCCGTTAGGTTAAAGAGAACACAAGGCTTTTGACATACACTGCTACATTTCTCAACAAGATTATACAAACGTGGACCCCCTGAAGAGTGTATGAGTAATTCACTTCTCCATGCTTTTCCCCAAAATTCTTTCTCATCTTTGCAAACAGGAGAAGAAAAACCTCATTGTTGTTTCCAGCTGGGTTTCTTTGGTTCTATTTCTACTTCTTTTGTATATTGTGCTTATCCACTGTTCACTTTCAGTAGGGATATTGTTGTACATTTTTATAAGATCTTTGTCTATTATATATGTTGCAAGTATTTTCTCATTTGTCATTTGCCTTCTCAGTTTGTGCTGCTTAAAAATAAACTAATTTTTTGTTGGATCTGTCAATCTTTTTTGATAGTTTTCATTGCAATTCAGATTGTTTTCCTCAAGATTTTACAACAGTAATATAAATCCTTTCCTATACAGTAGTTTAATTTTTCTATATTTATCTTGTTAACCCTAAGGCTACAATATCATTTCCCTCCAAAATTCTAGGGCTATGTACTGTACAAAGTGATTGCTTTTCAGATTTGAAATGCTACTTTAAAAATATAAAACAGTATTATATGCTTGGCTGTTTATGTAATTTCTTTCCTATTCTACAGTGCTATATCTGTACTGCTTCAGGATCTCTGACTTGATTACTATAGTGTCGTGATACATTTTAGTATATGGCACTATAGGGGAGACAGGGGCAAAAAATATGTGGCACTATAAGCCTCCTACCTTGATTCTTTTTGAACATTTTCTAACTTGATCCTCTTCCTAAGAAATATATAATCATACGTATGCAGTTATTTTCTAAGAGGAAAATGTATTAATATCAATTGTATTAGGGAAACACATTTTTTTAAATGATTAAGGCCACATACCTTCAACAAACATAGACACTGAACTTTTCCTCCCAAATGGAGAAAAACTACTCATGACTTTTACTGTCCCTAGTGGCAGCACCACAGTTTTATGAGTTTCAGAACTGGAAGATGTACAAGAGCTAAGTAAAGCGATATTCTGGCACAACTAGAATTTACCACTTTTTTTTTTTCCCAGCATTATTTCTCTTATCATTACTGGTGTTTGCAGATACTTTGTTTTTTGAGATCTTTTCAATAATGAGATAATTACTTATCTCTAATTTAGAGGGGCTGGGGATTCAGCTCAGTGGCACAAGTGCCTGCCTGGCAAGCACAAGGTTGTAAGTTTGATTCCCGGTACTGGGAAAAAAAACCAAAAAAATAAAAAATAAAAAAATAAAGTAATTTAGAGATATCTATGAGTTTTAGAGTACAAGTTTCACTGAGCTGGAGATACACCTCAGCTGCACAGTGCTTGCCTGGCAAGCACAAGGTCCTGAGTTCGATTCTCAGTACCAACCCCCCGACTCAAAAGCCAAACCAAACCAAACAAACAAACAAAAAAAAACATACAATGCATGTTTGCCCATTTTAATACACATTGCTTGCCTTAAGGAAGGGGAAAATTATGATTGGAATATATAATGTGGAATCATGTGGTGAATGTTCTTTGCTATTGACTACTGGAATATCTCCAGATTCTGTAGGTTAGGTAGCTTCTACTCAGAAGGCTCTAGTCAAACAACTGTGGGAAGGAGTCTATTCTTTCTCATGATACACCGTGTCTTCTTTTGCTTCCTACTTTCCTTTTCCTCCCACTTATGCTTTAGACACAGCTTAACTCCTGTTGATTCCCGGAGTTCAAAAACTAATAGATTTAAATCTGTGCTGTATTATCCAGCATGGCTCTCACAGCCCTTCTGCTGACTAGATGAATAAGAAGTAGGAAAAGAAGTATTTCCATTCAGTCATTGCCACCTGAAGAGCTGGAATCTTACCAATTACACAGGTATCAATATTAAAATAAGGTGTAAAAACTCAGATATTTCATTAATGGACCCAAAAGAATTTTACTTTGACATGACACATTTCACGTATGGATCTAAAATAAATCCTTACAGATATACTACAAGATCATTTTATTTATTTTGCAGTACTGAAGGTTGAGCCCAAGGCCTCCTGCATGTTAGGCAAGCTCTCTACCAATGAGCTACACCCCAGGGCCTCCTTCAAAATTTTCAGACAGGGTCTTACTAAACTGTTCAGCTGGGCTCGAACTTGTGACTCTCCTGTCTCAGCCTCCCAAGTAGTTGGGATTAGGGGCATGTGCCACAGCTAACCATAGATCATTATTTTAAGTTTTTTCACTTAACCTTTACAACATAAAGAATCAACACAGCGGATGAAATTTGACACTTTACATCTTCAAATAGCAGAGCTCAAAAACAAATCAAAAAAATTTTGTGCACACAACTATCATATCCAGCCTATTTTTATAAAAAATCTAGAAATATTAGCAATCATTTAATTTATACTAGGTAATAATAATAATAATAAAAAGTCTTTGGATATCCCATATATTTAAGTTGGAATCTGCTGCCCTTGAGGTCAAATAGTCTTTAAAGTTACTCTCATTAGCTCTTTATTTATAAAATGAAAACACTGGCTACTTTACAAGATTATAACAAGGATTATACAAGATTAGGGTCAGGAGCGTTTTAGCACATGCCAGATATAGTAAGCGCTCAAAGATTAGTTATAATTTTTCTGCTACTATATTAATAACACAAAAACCAACTTGCATCTGAGACTTATTAACATACATAGTATATACTTTATTTCAGTGTGATTCCGTCATGTTACAGGTCTGTCATATAAGAGTATGGAGACAGTCAGAACATGCAGGTTCTATTTTCAGTAAAGCTTCCAGATGGGCTTCTTTTAAAAATCTGCTAAGAAAGTTGGCACACATCCCTCAATGGTTTTCCTGATTTATAATTCTTGCTAGAATCCTATGATTCTAGAGACAAAACACACACAATCCAACCGCCATTGTACTCCGAATTTTAAACAATATTCTTTGGTACAGTGTTGCTACTATGAACCTACTTTGAAATTCGAGGGGGAAAAATCCGTAACCACCCATTGTTAAAGAGACGTCACTAAAAATAGCTCAGAAATATTTAACTGCTTCAGTGATTTCGAGATTTTATTTCACGTCACGCCGTGGGGAAAGGGAAATAAATACACAATACATCACGGCGTCCTCCGCTTCTTTCAAGTCCGCGCCGGGATTTAAGGTGCTAATCAACCGCGCGGCAGTGACCGGGAGAAACCCGGGTTCAGGTTGGTGGGGGTGGGAAGCGCCCGGAACCCGGGTGCCGAGGTTTCAGCAGAGGCAGCAACGGCCGGACTGCTGAGCTCGGGGACGCCGCGCTCGGGCCGATGGGGCGCGCCCACTGCGGGCGCCGTGTAGGCAGCGCTCGCAGTCCCCTCCGACAGAGCGGCCGGGCGGGATCCCAGCGCGAGTCCGTCCCGCCCCGCCTCTTCCCCTTACCACGTAGCCCCCCCACACGTAGAGGAAGTTTCCGTCCACCACGGCGCAGTGACCGCTGCGCTCCTCCGCCACGCAGAACAGCTGCGAGTCCGCCATCCGCGCCGTCGCTGGGCGCGCCGTAGCCCCTGCCCGCCGAGCGGCCTCGCGTCGACTCGACTCCTGTCCGCACGCGCCGACGGAACGCGTCGAGGGTCGAGATTGGTGGGAAGGCGGAACCAGTGCGTCTGCGTCGCAGCACGCTCGCTTGGGAAGCCGAGCCAAGCACGCGTGGCCTGCGAGGAATTCTTTGGTTCTTAGCAATAGGGAAGGGGTGTCGTCTTCCTAGGAGGCGAGCTATGCGCTGATTTCTTCTCATGTGAGGTTGTGTTTAGCCAGAGCAACCTGACTCAGCAGTCAATCAATCCATAGTGAAATTCCTTGCTTCTCTTCAAATGTCTTTTGCAATTGTTTTTTTTTATAACATTATATTTGATCACTGTGCCTCTTAAAGAGCTGTCTCTGTGTGTCTGTCTTTCTATCTCTGCCCATCCCCTTTCTTCACTGACTTGAGAAATGGGTTAGTTTTTCTATTTTCCCACATTCTGGGTCTGTGGTTGCTTTCTCAGTGGGCTTTCTTGAAAATTCTTGTAGCCATCCTTGCCGGGCGTGGTGGCGCACGCTTGTAATTCCAGCACTCGGGAGGCTGAGGCAGGAGGATCGTTGCCGAGACCAACCTGGGCTACAAAGTGAGCTAAAGCCAGCGTGAACTGCATAGCGAAACCCTGTCTTAAAAAAAAAAAAAAAAAATGTGTAGCCATCCTGTCTATTTCTTTAGACTGGAAGCCAAAGCTAAAGACTTCATTAGAGTCTGGGTCGGTTGGTTTTCCAGGAATTTTTCATTCTGTGTTACAGAAGATCTTTGGGTTTGGTGCACTTTGGCGATACTTTCTGTCGTTTCTTTTGGCCAATATAAGTAAACACACATAGAGATGTAGTGGTTCCCCCTTTTTGAACACAAAAGGAAACATTTCTACATATTCTGTAACTTTTTTCCATAGTTCCCCTTTTGAACACAAAAGGAAACATTTATACACATTCTGTTACTTTTTTTCCATATAGCAAGGTATTGTTCCATATCCCTGTGTAGCGATCTTCCTCTGTCATTTTGACTTCACGGTCCAGCACTCCATTGAGTCGACGTCATCATTTATTAACCCAAGACCTTCTTGATGGAGATATGAGTTATTTGTGGGTTTTTTTGTTATCAGAAATAATCCTATGATAAATAACTATGCAAATGTGACTTTGAAGTTTTACAAATTTGTCTGGAGTTGAGTTCTAGAAGTGGGGACTGCAGGGTCAGAGTGAGATAAATGCATATGCAATTTTGATATATTGTTGAATTTCCCTCTGTAGGGACTATATCATTGCCAACAACTTTTGACAGTGACAGTTTCTCATATCCTTACCAACAAAGTATGCTGTTAAATTTGTGGGGCTTTGCTAAAATGGCACGTTAGGAATTGTATTTCAGTGAAGCCTTTTGGACTGTTTTAGTTTT